AGGGTTGACTCAGCCTTCCATCCTTCCAAGGTGGGTAAAATGAGGACCCGGATTGTTGTTGGGGGCAATATGCTGACTCTGTAAACCGCTTAGAGTGGGCTGAAAGCCTTATGAAGCGGTATATAAGTCTAACTGCTATTGCTATTGCTATGTGGACGTCAACCCCCAGAATTCCCCAGCAGGGCATTGACAACTTGCAGAAAAACTACCCTAGACCTGTGTTGGCGAACCTTTTCAGCACCGAGTGCTGAAACGGGAGGGCACCCGCCGGAATCTGGAAGAGCAGTTATCTGGTGCATGTACGTGGGAGCACCAGAAACTGGAAGAGCAGCTCCCCGGCACACATATGCATGTTGGGAAGCTGAGCTTCCACTTTCTAGCATGTGCATGTGCATTGGTCCCCTGGTCTTCCGGTTTCTGGCGTACATGTGCATGCAAAAATCGTCTGGCTGGCGCACATGTGTGCGCTGGAAACTAGAAGCTCAGCTCTGGTTTCCCAGTTTCCGGCACTCCTGCGCATGTGAAAACCATCTGGTGAGGTCCATGTGCGCGCCAGAAACCGGAAGCTCCGTCACCCGCTGTTCTTCTGGTTTCCGGTGCTTCCATGCATGCAAAGACCAGCATGCCAGAACCCCGAAGAGCAACAGGCGATGGCTGGTGTGCCCAGAGAGATGGCTCCAACACATGTGCCTTAGGTTCACCATCATGGCTCTAGGTTGATCTGCCCCATTTTTAAACTTAACTGTTGCTGGATTTTTCTCTTCGGGAGTGATGGTCCAAAAAGGCAAGATGTCGGTCACAGCAATGTGATGAAGGCCCTGCCCCTTCGTATGTCTGCTTGTTTAACCTACTGTAATATAGAGACTTTCAGTAGGTTACAATCTGAAGCACAAAACACTGCGAATAATGTTTATAGCCATCAGTAGTAATTAAAAGTAAAATCATAATACAGCCAGTCAAAAAGAAGGCGCCGTCTCTAACTTAAAGGACTTTTAAAAACCTCTGTTTTTAATCTTCTCTTGAAGCCTAGCAAAGTAGGGGTTATTGGATTTTGGAGGGAGAGGCAGGGAAATCTGTAGCCTTAGAGAATGGCAATGTTTTGGTTTGCTTTTTCCTGCACAGGACACAGAAAGTGGGAGAACAAAATTGGAGGATACGTAGCATTGGCAAAATTGTCAGTTTATATATCCATAACAGAAGCCAACTCAATTTAAGCATGAATAGCTCCCGTGGATGCAACACACAGCAAGACAAATTGAGATATTTGGAGCATGATTTCTAGGGAAGACAGTCAGGAGACCAATAAAAAAATAATAGATGACGTGAGTTAAGCAGATATTTAGCTGCAACCCACAGCGCTCAATGCCCATTTGCAAAGTACAAATATTTAGGTCAGCGGTTGGGAAACCAATGGAAGGGAAGGGAAGACAACATCACTAGAAAAAACTGTTTTAAAAAAATCAGAAAAAAAAATGGCTGGACTTCATCCCTGTAATCTTTTTTCAGGGGGGGGAAAAGCTGCATTGGGAAACTGCTGCAGGTAGTCCTCTACTTATAACCATTCATTTAGTGACCATTCAGAGTCACAACCCCACTGAAGAAAGAGACAAATTGCTATTTTTCATTCTTAGGACTGTTGCAACATCCCCATGGTCATGTGATCAAAATCCAGTCGCTTGGCAACTGGCATTTATTTATGATGTTTGCAGAGTCACGCGATCGCTTTTTGTGACCCTCTGACAAACAAAGTCAATAGGGAAGCAGGATTCACTGTTAGTAACTTCACAACTGCAGTGATTCACTTAACAACTGTGGCAAGGAAGGTCGTAAAATGGGGCAAAATGACTTTAACAAATGTCTCACTTAGCAACCGAAATGTGGGGCTCAGTTGTGGTCGTAAGTCAAGCCAAGCATCCAAATTTTATTCACATAACTGCACGGATGCTGCAATGGTTGTTAAGTGTGAAAAACAGTCATAAGTCACTTTTTTTGGTGCCATTGTAACTTCAAATGGCCAATAAATGAATGGTTATAAGTTGAGGATTACCTGGTATCCAGTCAGCATTGCAACAGCACAGTGGTGAAATTCACTGGTTCTGTGGGCGTGGCTTGGCATGGCTTGGCAGGTCATGTGACTGGGTGGGCGTGGCCAGCTTAAAAAAAAACTTTTTAAAGCATTTTTAACTACCTGTTCACTTTTTTACTTTAAAAAGTAAAAAAAAAAATGATTCCGACGATCAGCTGTGTGACAATCAACTGTGCTGCACGATTGTCAGAACTTTTAAAAAACTTTTTTTAGCATTTTTAGACTACCGGTTTGGGCGAACCCATAGCATTTTTTACTACCGGTTCAGATGAACTGGCCCAAACCGGTAGTATTTCACCCCTGCAATAGCATCATCTGTTTAGCCAGGACTGGAGACTGTAAAACTGGGTATCATCATTTATTTAATTGCATAGTTCAATTTGTTATATTTCCTGATTCCCAACAACACTTGGGAGACTTTTTATCAATTTCATGAACTTCTTTCATCCGCTAAATTGAAGAAATATATTGTGTAGTTTGTGTGCTGGGAACTGTGTTGGGATTCTGCTTTCTTCCTGATCTAAGCTTTATTTTTAGCAACACCGTGAACCTGAAGAATCTTATTTATTCATTTATTGCTTTTCCACATTCACTTGCTAGATGTTTTTTGTTACAGGTTTTCCCCAAGCAGTCTCTCTCAAAGAAGCAGCCGACACTATTGGTGATCTGTGGTTGTGAACAGAATGGGGCCATCGGCCTGGCATGTGCCCGGCATTTGCGTGTATTTGTAAGTATCTAACTAACTCTGAATGCTGTGGGGGTGGGCCACCTTTGGATCATTTATATCTTGCCTTTACTATATTTATAAATAACTCAAGGTACGATGAACGGACCTAATACTGTCTTCCTGACAACAACCCTGCAAGGTGGGTCTGAAAGAGAGTGACTGGCCCAAGGTCATCCAGTTGGCTTTCGTGCCTAAGACAGAACTAGAACTCACAGTCTCCTGGTGATTGGCCCAAAGTCACCCAACCGGCTTTCATGCCCAAGGCAGGACTGGAACTCACAGTCTCCTTGTGATTGGCTCAAAGGCAGCCAGATAGATTTCTTGCCTGAGGTGGTACTAGAACTCACAGTCTCCTGGTTTCTAGCCTGGTTCTTTCATCAGTAGACCAGTGAATGAATGGCTGATGCCAAAGAGCATAGGTCTTGTGTCAATCACATCCAGAAAGCACACACAGGTAACTGATTCAGCAGGATTCACTAACTTCTCTTTATATATATATAATATAACAACTGAAGTACAATACCAAAAGCAAGTTTTCCAATGTGGTAGTAAATACAAGTGAAACACAATTAGAGGAGAGAACAGTTTTAGTTTCAGTTCAGAGCAGCAGACTAGTTTCGAACTCTGCACAGACTCAGAGCTACAGGGCTAAGCTACGCCCTGTCTCCTTGCTGTCTCCTTGTTACTTGCACAGCAAATACTATTTTCAGTTTCCAAACAGTCCCCTTTGGCTGACCTGTTGCCATGTCTATTCTGGTCTATGAACAAGCTCTGACATCTTGCCTTGCACAAACTCAGGGAATTGATAGATTGGCTATCCCCTTTGTAGACTATTTGCAAACGGTTCCCTTGGCCAAGTTTCTGCCCCACTAACTTGAGCTTTTTAAATGCAGATTCTTGCAATCGAGACTCCCTCCAAAATCCTTTATCTCCAGATATCTGCCTTAAAGGCAACAATGCCACCGAGAAAACTTGTCCAAGGCAAACTTTGTAACTTGCCCAATGCCAAACATTTCTCACCCGTTAGCATGATTGCTACTATCTTGGTATCCATATTCTGTATTCAAGGCCACCAAACATGATACATTCATTTTAATCGTACATATTTTTCCTTAAAAACTACATTTGTACAGTTGCTATTAAACCAAGATGTCAGGGTTCCAAGTAACACACACACACCCCAAACGAAAAAAGACTCCATGGCCAGCAATTCCTTAAAGCTCCATTTTATTAGAGATGTCATATTGGCACATCTTTGGAGCTTCAGGGCTGCCACAAGAATTGTATCACATAATTCGGTGATTTGGCAATTGAAAAGATCGTCGTGTTCCCATGCATTGAGTAACTCCAGAAGTGCAAAATTGGATTTGTTTAATAAGAACAAGTATTAAACAAATGTTCCTGCCATCCTGCCCAAGATTTAAAAATATATCTTAAATTGACAGATTTACAAAATTGGGATTACAGAATTTCTGAAGAACATCACCAACATCCTGGCTTTAAGTGTCTTTACAGAATCTTATTTTCTGAGGCTAAGAGGTCTTCTTCTCTGCATTAAGGACCCAGATATATTTCAGAATCTATCACAGAGATTTCTGATCATTGGATTAAACCAACATGAGATATTCAGGGTCTTACATAACTGATGAAAGTCCTGGAAATGACCTTCTGAACCTCTTCCATGCCACCAATTACAAAAATTTTAATGTGATAGAAAGAAAAAAAATACACAGAAACCAATGTAAACTAGTATCAATTAAAGTAAATTTTGTTTTTGCTGTGATCCCCTCTCACTACTCTTTCTCCCAGTATTAACTAAACCTTTCCCTGCTTACATTTATGATATTACCAGGGCTGGGCTGCTACAGGTTCGCCCAGGTTCGGGAAAACCCATAGCTAACGTTATGGCCGGTTCTGAGAACCTCCAAATCCCACCCCGGCTGGCCCCGCCCCCTCACCTCCTAAACTTGCTAAGGTTGAGACACCCTGATTTATATAATACCACCTACCAGGGCTGGCATTATTAATATACTGTACATCTCTATCATCAGAGTATTGATAAACTCATCTATCAACACAAGGCTTCGTTGATAGATAAACAGTTACTGTATATACTCGAGTATAGGCCGACCCAAATGTAAGCCGAGGCACCTAATTTTACCACAAAAAACTGGAAAAGTTATTGACTCGAGTATAAGCCTAGGGTGGGAAATGCAGCAGCTACCGGTAATGA